GCGTTGCCACAATGACCGGGAAAGGTAGAGAGCTGGCAAACATGATGGAGAGAAGGTAGGTAGATATACTGTGTGTGCAGGAGACCAGGTGGAAGGTTAGCAAAGCGCATAGCATTGGAGGGGGATACAAACTGTTTTATTATGGTGTGGACAGGAAGAGAAATGGGGTAGGAGTGATCCTGAAGGAGGAGCTCATGAGGAATGTTTTAGAGGTGAGTGTCAGATAGGGTAATCAGTTTGAAGTTGGAAATTGAAGGGGTAATATTGAATGTAATCCGTGGTTATGCTCCACAAGTAGGGTGTTAATTAGAAGAGAAGGAGAGATTCTGGAGTGAGTTAGATGAGGTGATGGAGAGTATTCCCAGAGGGGAGAGAGTGGTGATTGAGGCCCACATCATCTACATATAAGAGTGGAGGTAGGAGTACACAGGTAGACTACATTCTACTTTACAGCATCCACACAAATACATTTCAGAAGGAAAAAAACTTTTCCCTGCACATTTGTTTACAGCTGCAGTTTCTACTAGTTACAATGAGATCCACCTTGACCAGTGACAAAATGCTGCCAGCAGGTTTTTTCTCCCAGCGGGCTTATTGTATTTTTTAGGTTTAACATTAAACAAGAGAAAAAGTTTTAAAAGCATCACACACACAGCATACACAATAAAGAAAAGAAAATACTTTTTCTGCAGGTACAAGTGAAACATTGTACATCATGTCAGTCACGGTGTTCCACAGGGCTGTGTTAGGTCCAATTCTCTTCACTTTATACATGCTCCCTTTAGGCAATATTATCAGGAAGCACAACATAAATTTCCATTGCTATGCAGATGATACTCAGTTATATTTATCTATGAAGCCAAATGAATCAGATCAGCTGGTCAAACTTCAAGCATGTCTTAAAGACATAAAGGCCTGGATGACCTGCAACTTCTTACTTCTAAACTCTGACAAAACTGAAGTTATTGTGCTTGGGCCTGAAAACCTTAGAAATCTGCTGTCTAATCATATAGTTACTCTAGATGACATAGCCCTTGCCTCCAGTACTACTGTGAGGAACCTGTGAGTCATCTTTGATCAGAATATGTCCTTTAAATCACACATAACCCAAGTCTCTAGA